CTATTCCTGTATATAAGCGCGCCAGATAAAGCGAAACAATTAATCGGAACTGGAGTAGCAGTTAGAGAGATTGAAGATATAGACACAGTTAATCGAGTGAAGTGAGCGGTAGTGACCGTAAGTAAAATGCGTGAGTCGTTGTGAATTATAGCGTGTGTTCAAGTAAAATTGACTGTGGAAATTAAGTGTATTGCAAAGTTGAATTGAGAAAGAATAAACTAGTTTTATTTAAGAAAGGACTTGTATCGCAAAAGTTTCTTGGAAAGAATTTCTACGGAAAATTAATAAACGAACACAGACGTAACAATATACATATATTTCAGTTTCAACCTGCTCTTTCGTATTCGCGTTTTTTTTCAGTCCACCTTTTTTATTTTTAGCTATATTTATATGCATAAAAAGTAAACGATATTTTTCCCTACAATTTTCTAAAAATTTATGTACAGGTTTGTAGTTTTTACACTGTTTTTAAACCTGACGAAGAGCATTCACCTAAAACAAACTTTATTTTGACATATGTAATTTACCTTTTGAGTAAGTATTTTGATAATTTTCACTCGTGCCGCTTTTTTTTTATTCCATGCTAGTGTTCCTTGTTATCAACTAGTTTTTCTCAAATAGTGAAGTAGATAGGTTTCTTGCTCTGATCGGAAGTTTATAAGGATATCTACGTAAGTGTATTTTTGAAACGGGTATTTTCGCGTGAAATAATATTTCTATTCGTAATAGTAATACTAATAGCGTAAAGATATCAGTTTAAATTCGTAAAATAAGCGAAAAGTTTTTTTTTTAGAAAACATGGAACCTTAATCATCGTTATGACTGACTGGTATTCGTAATGTGTTGTATTGCCGTATGAATCTACGAGTGTTCCCGAGTAGACAATAATCAGTATGAGGAAGAAATTACTTGATGTGTTTCAATACATATTTTCAACATTTATAGCCTGTATTCGATTTCCCCCTTTTTTATATTCACTTTGTTATCTACTATTATAAATAATGAGTAGGCGTACACAGATTTGTTTGAAGTGGCATTGACTTAGCCTTCGCTTTCTTCAAGTTAAATATAAGTCTTGCATGATAATAACGTAAACACAGTGTTTCCAGATTCTCACTGTTTATTTTGATTTAAATTTAAACTTATTAAACTTAAAGACAGTTGCCTTGGTGGAATCGGAAGTCTTACGTGTATCTGTTTTCTTTAAGTTAAGGTAATTATTACATGTGTTAAGTCTAATCCTAGATAGTAAAAGGTTACAAATCTGTTAGAAACCAGTTTATCGTTTAATATTTTTATTCTGTTATTAGTGTTGATAATTTTAACATATTTGTTGTGCTGCTACTTTAAATTTTTATGACATAAGCCATATTAAAAATTATTTCATATCAGCTAGTAATGTATCATACCACGTTTTATCAAAAATATCTATACAGTATTTTTTGGGTTCCTTGCTTAAGTAAGAACATTGATTTAAATTTTCTTGGAAAGTGTACAGGGGAGTGCTGCCAGGATGATACTTGAGATGGAAAAGTTGTCATATAGGGATAAGTTAAGATCTCTGATATTGTTTTCTCTTGAAAAAAGAAGAGGTTAGATAGGATCTGACTAAGGTGTTTAAGGTTGTTAAGGGTGTTGATGCATCATCTTTTTTTA